TTTTTTAATCAAAGTGTTTAATTTTGTAAAACTTACTAATGTTCAAAATAAACATTTTGGTGACAAAAATATAAATATTTTTAAATTCCTTCCACTGCCAGAGAGCCGTGGCAAACATAACAATTATAATGTTTGAGTTGGAGCAAAAAACGGTAGTAATATAAATATATATATTTTTAGCCAATTTGGTTATTTTGAGCAAAGTTGAGCATATATATATAATATATTATATATATGTTTAAAAACACCTTAACATAGAACTGAATTATTTAAAAGGTCATTTTTGTATATTTTGCCAAGGTGTATTAATGGTTTACCATTTCATTTGCGCTCTAAAAAACTAAATTTTTCATCTAAAATGTTGTGTTGTGTTTTCTTATTAAAGTTCAGAAGATATTTTGTTTAATTTCTTAAATATTTTATCATGTATTTGTATATATTTGTTATTATTTATGTAATATATAGTAGCCAATAAAGCTGCATTTCATGGTTGAATGTAAGAATGAGTAAAAACATTAAATGTTTTAAATCAAATCCCGCCGTTTGAGATTGTACACTTTCTCAACAAAGACATTTATGATTATAATTAAGTCAGAAACGGATCACCAAAAATGGGTGGTAACCCAGCACAAGATAGCCCACGGACATCCTATTTAGGTTATTCTCGGCTTAGCCAGGCCGAACGTCCAAAATACGCCTAATAAGGCTAAGCCGGACCAGGTCTAGACTTGACGTTCTATGGATGTCCCAGACCCGTTCGGCCTGGCTAAGCCGAGAATATCCTAAATAGGACGTCTCTTTTCACAAAGCACAGGTTGTCCAAAGGGCGTCCATTGGACATATTGTACTATGTGGGTTGGCTATCATGCCTAAACTTTTAATGTAAGTACGAATTATATAAAGCACCTATTTTTATGAGGTTACTCTTTTGCCTTCTTTGGATGTTTGTGGGACAGCCTGAGGGGGTCACAGAGAGACAAACAAATCGATAAGCCTTATTATAAGAAAGATTAATTTACAAAAAACAGAAGTTTATTATTAAATATAGTTTATAATATCTATTCGTTCTTCAATCGTTTAAATTATTTAAATGTACCTATATAAACACCGGTATTATAACGTATAGTTTTGAATTTATAAACATCGGTCTTCTTCGGGTAGAACCGAACGGTTTCGTAACGACGTTTCCCATAATCCGTTGCCAATGGCGTTCTTTTTCTATGATGGCGTATATGGTGGTATTTCTTCTCTGGTCTTTGGAATTTATCGGAATTTTCCAGAGGTAAAGAATGTATTTAAGTGCAATTAGTGCTGTTTCGTGCTTTATTAATAATTTTCTTTTTATATATATTTTTACATAAGCAGCTTGAAGATCGTGTTCATGTTTTGTCTTAGCCAACGACTCCATAGAAATTTTCTTAGTTGGTTGTACCCAGACGTATAATAAAATCAAGAATAAATTCAAGTAAGTAATTTAATTAGGTTTGTCTTGACTAATAGACTGTACCACAAACATTTGTGCTGTAGTTAGGTGAATAAAAATGTTTAGTTAAAAATTGTAGGTGTTTTATTTTTTATTCCTATCAGCCAAATTATGGCCACATTTGGTCCTAGGACGGTCTTTAATAGACCATAATAGGACGGCCAAAGGCCAACCAAAAGTGTCTACTTTGGAAGTCCTACGGACGTCCATTCGTGGTCTTCGGATATCCGTAGGACGTCCTCTATGTCCTGTGTTGACGTCCTAAGGATATCCAGTGGACGTCTGTGTGCTGTTTGGGAATTGTTTTTCAAAATAGTTTTTTTTAAGCGTATATCAATTTACATATTATAAGTCTTTATAAAAAGAATTAATATTTGTACACAGTTCAAATGTCAAATTATTTCACACCGTTTTACGATAATAAAAATACATTGAAATTGGAGCAAAGAAAATGTAAACTTAGAGGTCACTGTAAAATAAATTCATGTACCTACATAACCTATAATATAACATGTCAAACGTCAAACCTGAAAAAATGTCGCAAACTCGATAATTTCAATGTAAGTACAGAATTATTAAATGCTTGAAAAAATTAGTTTATACAACACGGCGGATTTAGCATATTAACTGCCTTGCTTAGATCTGCAGCCTTGGCTAAGGCATTGGCAGCGAACACTGAGCTCGGCTATAAATAAGCGCTTTCTCCGCCTATTAGATCAGGCCAATTCACCATAAGTCGTTAACGTTAGCCACTATAATCAGTGGTTAACAGCCAATCCTACCAATCAGGCCGTTTAAATACAACCACTAAATCTTAGTGGCTAACATTAACAACTCATGTTAGTGAATTGGCCTGAATGTACTATTATTCTGTTTAGTTTAGATATAAAATACTATTCCCAAATGAGGCTGCAAACAAAAAAATGTCTACCAGTTATTGCCGTAAAGTTAAAAAAAAAACGATTGACAATTGTTTACGGCGTAAACAATTGTCAATTCTTTTTTTTATTTTAGTATTATTCAAAATCTATTTTATGAAATAAAATAAAATTTTGTGAACAATGTTATGAAGTGTCGTAGTTTACTATCAATTTTGTTTGATTCGCCAACCTATAATATTTGTTAATTTATAAATGTTCATTTACAAAAAAATCATCATCAATTATAGTTTAGATTAAAAAATGTTAATTTAAATGTGTTGGTATTTTTTGTTTAAAATATATAGGTAATCATTTAAACATCTATTAAGCCCGTATTACAGTCTGCAATTACTTGCAGCAACTTTCTTGCATGCAAGTTTTATTGCTGACTGTAAAACACTTTGCGATTCTAACCGAACTAGCAAAAAAAATCGAGCAGGACCGATAATTTGAAACGGCAATAAACTTGCACGAAACGTCGCTATGCGCATGCCTTCGTGCAAGGAAGTTGCTGCAAGTAAGTGCAGACTGTAATACGGGCTTTAAAGATAGTATCTTCATTTGAATAAATACAAAACAGTAGGTTGTGATGGAAAATTAAGCGGTATAAACAAATCGTTGTATTTTAGTTAACAAAAGTACTTTAAAGTATATATATTTATAATTATAATAAAAAAGTATTTATTACGAATTAAATTATCATTATCATGCACAATTATTGTAACGCGCCAAGTTCAAATGATTATACAATTTATATATCTTAAAAAAATACCAATACTTTTAAATATCCATACTTTTTTAAAAAAGGTCTAAACTATAATTGAGATTTTTTTATATTTTTCGATCCTCCAGAACAATGTTTAAAAAAAAATATATATTTATAAATTAACAAATATCGAAGAATGTCGAATAAAAAAAATCGATTGTAGACTAAGACATATTAAGACATTGTTTACAAAATTTTATTTAAATCCATACAATACCTACAAAATATAATTAAAAAAAACATACAAATTGTTTACGACAATAACTGGAAGAAACATTTTTTATGCAGCCCCTTTTGTGGAATCGTATTTTATTTGTAAACTAAACAGAATAAACTAATTTATTTTGAAAAACAATAACCACCAGTTTTTGGTAATCCGATTCACAATTCTGACTAAATATTATTAATTTTTCATAAAAACGATTTTTTGGCCCATATAAATTATTATGAAATTATGAAGAATAATTATGTTTTGTAAAATACACTTCGAAGCAAAACAATCAACTCACTAACATATTTAAGTTTTAAGAGAGTGGGTAGGTATCCACGAGGATAATATGTCAAGTAAATTGTTAAAGCTTAAAAACTGTGCTTTATAATTATACAAATTTATATAAAATCGGATTTGTTTTAACAAAGTTATGGGCCTACGAATAGGTGTTCCGTAAAAGAACTGAAAAGGAAAGATTATAATGAAAGGAAAGTGAATATCTAATATCTGGATTTGCCTCCCTTACTCCTAATTACACATTGCATGCGATTGTTCATGGATCTGGGCTTAGCGGAGGCCAGTTCATAGTGGGTATACCGACGTTAGATAGGTAATTAGAGGTTACTCGCGCTGTGTGGCATCGCGCATTATCCTGCATAAGCATGCAGTTTTTGCCAATAAGAACTGCGAACGGAACAACATGTTTTACCAGAATGTCCGTAATGTAGCGATCCGCCGTCAAACCAACTCGGTTTTTCCGTCCAAAGAAATGCCCGCACAGAACATGCAAGACCCACCTCCATAAGCAAAATTTGTTCATAACATTGAGCAAATCGCTTCCCAGGCTTTTTGTAGACGGCGTCTTCTGTAGTTACCATGTAAATACATCCTGCTTTAGTCAGAAAACAAAATCCGACTCCATTGGTCGACGTCCCAATTGAGATGTTTCCGAGCAAATTCAAGTCGCTTTTGTTTTTGGACTACGGTCAATTTGGGGTTAGATTCGCTGCTTTTTATCTTCTTCCAACTATCCAGCTCATTCTTCAGGTGAACTCCAGTTAAATGCCGATTTCTCTTGCCGATGTTACTTGTTTATGGCCACCTCCTTGTCGGCGGGTGTAACCACCGGTTTCTTGGTACCGACGATAAGCTCTCTACACAGCTGATTGAGTGATATTTAGCCGATTTGCAAAGGCTCTCTGGCTTAAACCCCTTGCTAGTTCGGCGGGTGTGGTCAATACAATATCAGTTTTTAAAGCCCAATAATAAGGGAAATTATTGCACATCCAATGTTTTTATTTATATCCTCCATAGAGTAAAAAAGGAGACGGAAATGCAAATGCACCTATTGAGTTAATTGTTTAGCTCCCAAGTGTGGTAAATATTTAAATAAATATAAAATTAATTTAAAAATAATTTTGTTATTGGTAACACTCAGGAGAAACACCCAGGACTAGGGTTTGATGCATTTCTTCCGACTCAAACTGGTTAACATCCTAGAAAATTTATTTGAATGGTTGCAAGCAAAATAAGATGTTTTATAAATTTAAAATTTGTTGGTAACGAACGCATGCGGAATACGTAATGTAAATGCATACTCACTTAAATTCGTTAATGTACCCATGATGGGCTTGTCACAGCAGCCGAATATGGTGGAGGAGCGTTCTGCGGAGCGGCAGCATTCTCAGTTTGCTGAGTAATGTTCTGTTGCTGATTGGAAAAATTAAAGTCCAAATTTCCTTCCATGTTCAATTCGTGCTTAATAAGTTCCTCGACGTTGCAATCGAAGCCGCCTTGGAAAGACTCGACGTTGATGTTCAAATCGTCCAAAATTGTGCTGCTATTTAAGGCTCCCATTAACTGACCCATCATTGTAGATGGCGTGCCCTGATTGTGCTGCTGGTTCATGGGTGGACTGTTCGACGATCGCCTTGTGAGTACGTTTTTGCTATGCATGTATTGGCCATTTAACGTGTCCGGAGACGGTTCTGAATTTGTGTAGGACGGCGACATGCCCGATGGAGACATCCTCTGAAATAATTGATAAGATTGACATATTGATAACGGAAATACATAGTGGCTCGCGGAATTTATAACGCATATATATTCGTTATTAAAACAACATTTTCCCGAAGTTTTTTGGTGCTGAATAAACACAAAAAATAAATTTTCAAAAAAAAAATAAAAAACTATCAATTTAAAAAAAATTTAAAATTCACAAAGAATTTTTTGGTGACTCTAATACAAAGTCTGTATATATCACGTAAACTATCAGACTATAAAATAAACTGGAAAACAGTTAAAATATTTAGTTAAGGTAAATACGAACTTTTCAAAATATTTAAGAATCTTGCGGTATAAAAACAAACACCTATTTGACACAATTTTAGTGAAAAAATGGCTAAAGGTTAATAATTAAAATACGTATTTAAGTTTTTTAAAATATGCTGAGGATGTATTTAAGTTAAAATACTAGAAAATGTTTAAAATAAATTTTTATTCTATTAACTTACACCCACAAATTAAATAACATAAAATATGAAATTGGAAATTATGTTTCATGGGATAAGTAAAATATATACATTAACGTACTTCTGTCTTAATGTTAGGAAGACAATTTTCAACTTTAATGTCTTGAATACATGTACAGGATCTTATACCATGAGCCGAACAGACATCAAAGGGTGTGTTTAAGTCTCCAAATTCGTACGGATTTGAATACGGCGGTGGTGGTGGCTGCGTTGTCGTTTGTCCGTTCATATAGCTAAAAAATAAAATAAAAATCTTAAAATATTTATTTTAATGAATACTACAAAATACATAAAATTACATTAGCATTAACAACTATCTATGTTATTCTAGTTTTTGCTGTGTAGGTTATTGAATAACTAGATACATTTTGAACCTCTAAATTTAGAAATTGGACATTTAAGTATGTTAAACAAGGTATTTCAAAATAGCGCCCTACTGTCAAAAAGTCCTATTTTTTTTATTGGGAAGTGGGGTTATGTGACAAATAATTAACATATTAATTTTTTTGTTACAAGTGTTGAAAAGCTACTTTTTCATGCGAGTGTTTAAGTTGTTCAGTTATTAACACGAGCTTGAAGAAGGCTTTTCTCACAAATGAAATACAATGTTTTTTCTACGACCCTTTTATTTTGTATTTTTTTAAATACTAAACAAAATAACCTAAAAACGTGTTTGATAGCTGTTAAATTTAACAGCTATCAAACACGTTTTTAAATTACGATTCTGTCGATTTCTTTTCACACAGACCTGTCACTTTTGACTCAAAAATGTCACTTTAAATTTGAGTTTTGCCTTGCCAATAAAAATATTTGTTTTTTAAGTCCTGCTTAAAATACCCCATAGAGACCTATACAAAATAATCTATCGGGCGCTACAGGATTCAATATGTGCATTTGTCCATGGTTTTTTCCTGATACGGCCCGATAGAAAATGTATAGGAAATTACCCATAGGCACACCATAACATTTACATTTTCCCTATTGAGACCGATAGAAAATAACTCAATGAAGGATATATGGGTATATACCTATAGAGCAACCACTTGACAAAATTTTATTAAAACCTATAGAGTCCTATGGGGGAAAAAGTAATTTCTACATTTATGTGTATTTTCCCTATTGAAACCAATAACAAATAAATCAAGGGTGGATATCCCTATAGAACAACCATAAATTCCAACTATGGGTCCTATACATACCGATACACCCTATAGAAACACCATACATTCGGATACAAATATCTATTGGTTTGAACAGGGTCTCTATGGGGTATTTTAAGCAGGGAGCAGAGCTGGGCGGTACTTAAGTACAAGTACTTGAATGTTGTTCTTAGAGTACATTTTGGGTACTTTGGACTTGGTACTTAAGTACTTCTTTGAATATGTACTTGGTACTTGTACTGGTAACATTCAACTAAAAGTACCTGCTCAGTACTTGGGACTAAAATATTCATAAATTTTTATAAGTACTTTATACAAGTTAAGAACTGTCTGCGCCTGCAGCTTGAGCGGTAGCCCTTAGCCTACCCTAGGGCATAGGTAAAAGGTTTTCCGCGCAACAAATTGTGGCCCACAATACGTGTTGTTTATTATGCTCGTGTTCGTGCATTTTAAGCTAAAGTTAAACTATTTCAAAATTTGAAATCAACATCAAACCTAAGATTTCGTGCTTTGTGCTCTATTCAGATCTTCGTCAATTGCACTGTGCTAGTTCAAAAATCTAATAAGCGGGACATCAAGGGGGATTACCTAATTTGAGTACTCTGAATCTAATGGTGTTTTTTTTAGCTTAGCTCTTGTTTTCGGGATATTTTAGTTTTAAATTGGTGACCCAAGAACCACAAAAAACATTAAAGAAATTTTAAAAGCGTTTATAATCACTTCCGGTTTATCCGGAAGTGACATCAACTTTGTTATTTTAAATAAAACACCCCATATATTTTTACATTTTTAAATTCCACATAAAATTCTGAATAAAATTACTATACCATGTCCTACCTAAAGTGAATTGTTTTAGGGTTATTATTTTTTTTTTGTTAAAATTTGACAAATGCGCGTCAATCAAAAATACCTAGAACTTTTTTTTATTAGGTGCGAATATGAGGTTGGAATTTTTGGAATCTTAAAACATTGTTTAAAAGATTCCATGTCAATTATTTAACATACAAAAGTTTACAAAAGTGCTCTTTTAGTTCCACCCTTACTTCTTAAGAAGTCCCATAAGCCAACTGAATGGCTTGTGCGGGTTAGGGGTAGGAACGGACCGCGGGCTTAAAGTCCCCTCCGAAGGACTAATACACAATAGGACAAACACAAATAAACAGCCATACCCCTGGTGGGATTCGAACCCACGACCTCCGGCTTGTAGTCAGCATGCACTAGACCACTAGACATTTTTTAACAAATCACCTAAGAAAACCCAGGGCAAATTAGGCTAAGTTGAAATGTTAATAACTTTCTTATTTTAAAGTACTATCTGAGCCATCCAGCTTAATTACGTGGATTTACAGTGTGTGACGTCAGTCGGGATCGAACTTAAGTCCCGCCTCGGAACGGGAGCCACGTATGTTTTTACCTAATCAAATAGTAAATTAAAAAACCTTTCGATTGATGTTACTATTCCCTATACCTAAAGTTAATAATTTTAGAGATATTTAAGAATTTCTAAAATTTTAAATATTATTTTGTATCAAGAAACCTGTGACTGGTGAGTTGACGGTATCTATGGTTACCACGTAATCTGTCATTGTTTAAAATTTAAAATGAGCTCCGTTGCCGCTATTCGTTGTTTATATAAACAGTGTGTATAAACATGCATTATAATTCTTGGAGGTAGAAGTTATCATTGATAAAAAACATAAGACGACTTGGCGAACATTTTAGTACGTTTAATACTTCAGGACCGGGTTATGACATTTTGTATTTATAAAAAATTATGAAAACTGTAAATTTTTTGAGAAAAAAATCATAAAAAACACTTTAAAATCGACCAAATTATTTGTTTTTAACAGTTTCTTTTTAATATGTATCTGTCTATAAATTTATTCCATCAATTTTTTTCAATTTATAATCAGTAAATGGTTTTAAAATAAGAAAAATAATGTTCTTTTGTGATGCTTGGATCTACACTCGGGCAACATTCGTGATATTCATACGAACATCATGTCGTGATTTTCACAAATTTTATTCATACTGTCACCGCGTGATAAATGAAAATCATAAGAACGCCACGTCGTGATTTTCACAAATTTTATTCATACGGACATCATCCGGATGTCACTGCGTGAGAAATGAAAATTATGTCGTGATTTTTTATGCCATCGCTGTTTGCGATTGACTGATGGCCTAAAATATCATGTCGTGACTTTTTATGCCAACGGTGTTTGGATAATCATTTTTGCGCCACGTTCGTACACTTAAATAAAAATTATGTTGAATCAACAGTTTTTGATTCATTTAATATTTTCTTGGATTTAAATTAACTATATATAATTAATTTAAATCCAAGAAAATATTGATAGTACAGTCATCTTAGTCAAAAAAAGGGATCAACCTCGGAATCTAACGGAATAAGCTGAATTTTTGTGAAAACCTTTATTTTAGCATTACAAATGTTGTCTCAAAAGTCACATATGCCAACGTGTGAGCGACCTTAGATATTCAAGGTCAAAGGTCGCAAAAATCAGTTTTTTGATAATATCTCGTTTTGTATGCCTTCTTTCGTATTTGCATTTATTATAAAAGTTGTAGAGAATGAAATTTTCTACAAATTTTGTTTAAAAAAATTTTTTATACGTCGAACCTTTTTTGAGATAGAGGGCGCAGAGTGTGGAGCGCTCAGCCATACGTACCTTTAGCGCAAGGTAAATCGGGAATCCCAATCTATTATACCGTTTTTTTAATTAATTATATAATAAATATTACTAAAATAAAAATTTAATACCTTATACTTATATTTATATTTCTTTTAAATCAAATATATTTTATCTTCATATATATCTTATATTTTAATTTAATTTTAATGAAGGATAATTGGATCGGAGTAGGAATAAATGTTTTTATTTATATCAATATTATTATTATTATTATTTATCTTTATCTTCTTCATCCTCGTCTTCTTCAGGTTGGCCAGCAATTTCAGACTCATTATCATCATCATGATGATGATGATGAGTGCACTCTCCTCGTTATCATTGACATTAATTGTCATATCTTCAAAAACTTACTTATAACGCGTTTGTACTTTGCTGATTTTTTTGCCTTTGTTGCCTCATCTGCGACTTCACCACAAAATAAGCACAATATTTTAAAATCAAACACATCATTCCCTTTTTTACGAGGTACAGTTGATGACGTTGAAGGTCCAGTCTCTTCAAGGCGACGTTTTGCTGCTGCAATTTTACTATAGTACGCTATAGCGTACAATTTTCGACACTTAATATGAACGTTTACAGAAGTCAAAGTATTTAGGTAGTTTATGTTTATTTCTCTCAATAATTGCTTCTTTTAAAGTCTTTATACCGCGCACAAAAGTCACAGAATCACCTTCAGAAAGTAACTTATTACAAATAAAACACAAATCAGCCATGTTAACCTTTAAAGTATTACGAATATTACCTGTCACAACCATAGACCTAGGTATACCTAGGGTCACACCTTGGTTTATATATAAGTATACCTAACCTTTTTATTTATAGCAAGCCCACTATAGTATTTCCAGGTCTGTTATTTTAAAAGCAATATCTGGATCCAAGAGATGACCAGAGACATATTCAAGGCAAATTCATTTAATGTCTTTTCTTCTTAAAATGCATTTATTATTAATTAGAATATTATTAGAATATATTTAGAATGATTCAATTCATTATTTAATTATTTGTATGTCAAAAGTAAGTAATATTTAATGACTATTTGTTTTAAAAAAATATATAAAAATAAATATAAGGTAATAAACTGTTATTTAAGTAATATTTAATAAATAATTAATTAAAAAAACGGTATAATAGATTGGGATTCATGATTTACCTTGGGCTAAAGGTACGTATGGCTGAGCGCTCCACACTCTGCGCCCTCTATCTCAAAAACTATTAGACGTATAAAAAAATTTAGTAAATAAAATTTGTAGAGAATTTTATTCTCTACAACTTGTATAATAAATGTAAATATGATAGGTGGCAGAGAAAAGGAGATATTCTCAAAAAATTGATTTTTGCGACCTTTGACCTTGAATATCT